ACTTTCAAGATTAGGCTTCAAACTTTCCTTTTTGCTAAAGCATATAGTTAGGGCTGGACCAGGTGACCCTGAATCCTCCCTTAGTTATGCTGCAATAGATGTAGGCTGCCGGGGATTCCCATGATGCATTGAGTTTTTCCTTTCCAGTCACCTTTCTCGCTCACTATGTATTAACAGACCTCTCTGCATTGAATCGTATCTGTTATTAATCTCTGTCTCTCTTCCACAGCATGTCTTTATCCTGTCTTCCTTCTCTCACCCCAACCAATCGCAGCAGATGGCCGCCCCTCAATGAGCCTGGTTCTGCCGGAGGTTTCTTCCTGTTAAAAGGGAGTTTTTCCTTCACACTGTCGCCAAAGGGCTTGCTCATAGGGGGTCATATGATTGTTGGGTTTTTCTCTGTATCTATGAAGCGCCTTGAGGTGACTTTTGTTGTGATTTGGCGCTATATAAATAAAATTGAATTGAATTGAATTGAAAGAAAGAAACTGAAAACTTTTCAGGAGAAAAGAAACTGAAAACCTGAACATCATGTTCAGGTTTTCAGTTTCTTTTCTCCTGAATAGGAACGGAAACATTTCTGCTTAACTGACGCCCCTTTAGCAGGAGCCAACGTGTCTCAAACGTCTGCAGAGTACCTGGGAATGAGTCACTACCTGATATATCCTCCTAAATATGGGCGGAGCATGAACACACCTGGGAATCTTCCGCATTGGGTTGATGAGTCGACTGAAGTCAGAAGCAGAGTGTGGCAGGGCTCACTGGGAGATCGGCTGGTTTGTTCTGTATCACAGATTTTTCATTAGCACCATCATCTTGCACCGTGGACATGGAGGCTCAGAGAAAGAACAATGGATCGAATGCGATTTTTATTCACAAACATCATTTATGTTTGCATGATTTGAAAATGCACAATCAGCATTTGAGGAACATCTATCTTCCAAAAACAAACATCCCTGAATACCCTCAACCCGAGTTTCATGTGTTCAGTCTGAAACACGACACACAGCAAGGAGGGTTACTGAGGATCTGGAAGGACGAAGGCTTCAAGGATCCTCACAGAGGCCTGAAGGATGCAGACGGCCTGTCCCTGGTGTGGTGGAGTCTGGCTGTGGGTCCCCAGGAGATCCAGTCAGCTGAGACCAGGCTCCTGGACAGGTTCTACCCAA